AGTTGGACGTTGGGCACCTCCATGGTCTTGAGATGGACACTGGGCACCTCCATGGTCTTGAGGTGGACACTGGGCAATTCCATGGTCTTCAGTTGGACATTAGGGACATCCATGGTCTTGAGTTGGACGTTGGGCACCTCCATGGTCTTCAGCTGGACGTTGGGCACCTCTATGGCCTTGAATTGCATGTTGGGGACCTCCACAGTCTTGAGATGGATGTTGGGCACATCCAAGGGCTTCAGTTGGACATTGGGCACCTCTATGGTCTTCAGTTGGACATTGGGCACCTCTATGGTCTTCTGTTGGACACTAGGGACATCCACAGTCTTGAGATGGATGTTGGGCACCTCCAAGGGCTTGAGTTGGATGTTGGGCACCTCCACGGTCTTCAGCTGGACGTTGGGCACCTCCATGGTCTTGAGATGGACACTGGGCACCTCCATGGTCTTGAGGTGGACACTGGGCAATTCCATGGTCTTCAGTTGGACATTAGGGAAAAGCTGGACGTTGGGCACCTCCAAGGTCTTCAGTTGGACATTGGGCACCTCCAAGGGCTTGAGATGGACACTGGGCACCTCCAAGGGCTTCAGCTGGACATTGGGCACCTCCATCGTCTTGAGTTGGACATTGGGGACATCCACGGTCCTGAGATGGACGTTGGGCACCTCCAAGGGCTTCAGCTGGACATTGGGCACCTCCATGGTCTGCTGATGGACACTGGGCACCTCCAAGGGCTTGAGTTGGATGTTGGGCACCTCCATGGTCTTGAGATGAACATTGGGCACCTCCAAGGGCTTCAGCTGGACGTTGGGCACCTCCATGGTTTTCAGCTGGACACTGGGCACCTCCAAGGGCTTGAGTTGGATGCTGGGCACCTCCACAGCCTTGAGTTGGACACTGGGCACCTCCACGGTCTTCAGCTGGACGTTGGGCATCTCCATGGCCTTGACCTGGATGTTGGGCACCTCCACGGCCTTGAGATGGATGTTGGGCACCTCCAAGGGCTTCAGCTGGACGCTGGGCACCTCCACGGTCTTCAGTTGGACATTGGGCACCTCCAAGGGCTTGAGATGGACACTGGGCACCTCCGTCGTCTTGAGTTGGACACTGGGGACATCCATGGTCTTGAGATGGATGTTGGGCACCTCCAAGGGCTTCAGCTGGACGTTGGGCACCTCCACAGTCTTCAGCTGGACACTGGGCACCTCCAAGGGCTTCAGTTGGATGCTGGGCACCTCGATGGCCTTGACTTGGATGTTGGGCACCTCCATGGTCTTCAGTTGGATGTTAGGCACCTCTGTGCTCTTGAGTTGGACGCTGGGCACCTCCGTCATTTGCTGATGGACATCGCTCATCTCCATAGTCTGGAGATGGACGCTGGGCACCTCTGTGACTTGGAGGTGCACCCTGGGCACCTCTGCAGCCTGGAGATGGACGCTGGGCACCTCCACGGTCTGGAGATGGACATTTGTCACCTCTGTGCCTTGGGGATGGACGCTGGGCACCTCAGTGGCTTGCAGCTGGACAGTGGTCACCTCTGTGTCCTGGAGATGGACACTGGGCACCTCCATGGTCTGCTGATGGACGTCGGGCACCTCGGTGGCCTGCAGGTGGACATTGGTCACCTCTGGGGCTTGGAGATGGACGTCGGGCACCTCGGTGGTTTCGAGATGGACATTGGGCACCTCGGTGGTCTGCAGCTGGATGTTGGGCACCTCCATGGCCTGGAGCTGGACATCTGCCACCTCTGTGGCCTGGAGATGGACATCCGTCACCTCGGTGGCTTGGAGATGGACATCCGTCACCTCGGTGGCCTGCAGCTGGATGTTGGTGACATCCAAGGGTTGGGGCAGGGCTTGGAGCTGGACGTTGGTGACATCTGAAGGTTGGGGCAGAGCTTGGAGCTGGACATTGGTGACATCTGAAGGCTGGGGCAGAGCTTGGAGCTGGATGTTGGTGACATCTGAAGGTTGTGGCAGAGCTTGGAGCTGGATGTTGGTCACCTTGGAGGGTTGTGGTAGGGCTTGGAGCTGGACATTTGCCACCTCGGTGGCCTGCAGCTGGATGTTGGTGACATCCAAAGGTTGTGGCAGGGCTTGGAGCTGGACATTTGTCACCTCTGCGCCCTGCAGTTGGATGCTGGTGACATCTGAGGGTTGTGGAAGGGCTTGGAGCTGGACACTTGTCACCTCGTTGGCCCGGAGCTGGATGTTGGTGACATCTGAGGGCTGCGGCAGAGCTTGGAGCTGGATGTTGGTGACATCCAAGGGCTGTGGTAGGGCCTGGAGCTGGACATTTGTCACCTC